AGCTTTGTCGGATTATGTTTGTTTGTAATTGTGACTTAGATGATGCTCACACCCCGTTTTACACATAATCGATTTAGAAATCCTCCTAAAACCAATACAACACCAACTTTTTCTCGCAATTGTATGCAACTGTAACTGTATATATTAGTAAGAAGATGTAAACGTCATTTCAGGATGTTACAAAAACCCGACGGGACATAAAAATGAAGTTATGGGTAATATTTCACAACTCTAAATGCGGGTTTGCGCTTGTTAGGTGCGTACAGGGAATACTGATGAAATGAATGAAATGAAAAGCAAGGAGGAGAATTTTTTTGTTTTCTCTCTTATCGTCTCCCCTTCTGTTGCAGCCTTGGTTGAAAAAAAAACTGAATTAGATTGCGTCACACATTTCATACCATAAACTTATGTAACATCAGCCTACCCTTCAGTCATTCATTCCTCCTTTTTTAGCCTTTTCTACTGTTTTATTCTTTTCTTTACTTATTTTTCCTGCTATCATAGCCAAGATCCAACCACTGTATGAGACATCCACACCCTCTATTTGCTGCTGCCCACTATGACACGATGCACTTTCTCACATTTTCTTTTTCAGTTACAAAAGAAAACAACAAGAGTGAGAGGAAGAGTGAGAGGAAAAAGCAGAGAGCAGAGAGCATATTGTTAGAAAAATTACGTGAAAGGGCCAAAAGGTGTCTATGGTAAACAGACAGCAAAGGTGAAGTTGAGATTGTTCCTTTTTCTATTGGTTGTCTCTGTGGTCAGTAAAGCTAAACACCCAGCACCACTACAACCCACCAAATCTAATTACTGCACCTCCCAAGCACATATTTCACAGTTCTCTACTCTTCTCAAATAACAAGATGTTCAGAAATCGCAGCGCTTGATTGGTGCACTGACTGTGTGTGCACCAATCATCAGGACACCGAATCCCATTAAAATTTGCCATTACCTGCTCCTGCATGAGAGTGGCCAATTTGCAGACACCCCAGTCAAACAGTAGTCTCACTATGCCCCATTCCTCTTTGGGTAATAGTGGGTGCGCCCTGAACGGGAACCACATAGTGCAGGTTTGTGGCGAACAGGCAGAGTTTTTAGTCTTGAAATGGTGCGTGCAACTTTTGCTGACCTAAATCCATTACGTGGAAGAATTTTGACCCATTCATCTTTACAATGTTGCTTTAGTTCGTTGATGTTACATATGCCCAGTCCTCTTAAGGTGCCATCACAGCATTTCTGGACTTTGACCAAGCTATTACAACACCTCGAGTCTTTTGTTTTTGCAGCCATTCGGTTGTACGTTTGCTCGTGTGCTTGGGATCATTGTGCTGTTGCATGACCCACCCACACATGACCTCACATTTGACTGAAACAAAGTGCCCAGGTTTTGTGACTCTAAAACAAACCCATGTCATAGTTCATATGAGATGTGTGTCCTGGTATGCTTTGGTTTTGTCTGTCTTGTGGTTTGTTTGGACGCAACTTTGCAAACCAGTTGGAAGCAGCTGGTTGCTATGGAAGGAGTAAGCATGTACTAAGAGGCCATGGCAAATTGCTCATACCTTATCAGTCACCAGTCATGAGCTAATGAGTATGCTGGGTTCCTTGGTCAACAATCTAAGATGCCCCCCCCCCGACACACACACACACACACACACACACAGACACACACTTGAGAGTGGGAAAAGACAATAAGGCTGTGAATGCGACTGGTGAAGAAAGCAGCAAATATAAAGGTCCAGGTCAGTTCTTGTGTGTTGCAGCAAGTGTGTGTGTATTAAGGTAAGGTTTTGGTGCTCACTTATTAAAAGCGCTCAGCAGTTGTGCCTTTTTCTCATCTGTTTGAGGGTACTTCAAACTCAAAGACTGGCACATATTTTTCTTTTTTTTCTAACATTAAAAAAATTGAATATCAGACCCAATTTCATCAATCACAGTTTTTGCTACTTGGGTTGCCTCATGGGAGGCTTCATTTGCAGCAGTAATCACAGGGCAAAAGACTGCAGAGAGAGATAAAAAGACGAGCACACAAAGAGGGATAACTCCTCATGATCTCCTCACAGCAGCATGAGCTGACGGTATCCCAGTGGCAATGTTGCCTTCCCCCCACCCCTTTGTGCCCACACACAAAAAAGACGAATCTTAAAATCTATGAAAAGAAAGTAAAACATGACAAAAAGCCCACAACAAGCTGCAACTTGTGTCAAGTCTCAAGAGTTTGCTTCATACGGCGGTCCCTCACCAAGGACTCCCAGAGGACTGTAAGCAAGTCTTACTAGAGCCAGATGGCCCTGATCTTAGGTATTCAGCTGCTGCAGTAACAGCCAAGGAGGTGTCACAGTCAATGCAAAACACAACCTGCCATTGCCACCAATAAACACATGCACACACAAACAGTGGAGACAACAGATGAGAACGCAGGGTACTGTCATTGTCACGGTATAGTGAAAAAAGACATGGATTAAAGCTAGACTGCACATATCTTTAGATAAAAAAAGAGAAATGCTGTATCGTGAATTCCTGCATGCGCAGATACGATGGTAGATGAATGAACTATAAGCACAGGGTGTGGTCAGCTGCAGCTATTTAGCTGGTACCATTTTAGACAAGCATTGAATTGTGAGTTTGGTGGACACTGTGCTGTTGCTAATTTCATTTCAAACTCTGAGCGAATCCCATGTGCTCTCATGGCAGATGAGTTTTCAGTATGGCAGAGAAAGCTATATTGCAGTCTTTTGGTCTGTGTGCTTATCAGTTACACCGCATACTGTCCAAATAAACTATATGGTCTTACTGTGAGAGAATATTTCTTGCCCTCTGCATATATATATATATATATATATA